GCGGAGACGCGCCAGCCAACGCCAAGCATCCACCGCAGTCGCCACCGCATGGGTTTTGCAAACCAAATTGCGGGCAGGTGGGTGGGATTGTTTGCAAGTGCTCGGGATGTGTCAACTCGTTTGTAAAAATGAAACAGAAAAATGAATTCGGATGCCCCCCGGCTGTATCGATCCACTTTTTTCGCATTGTAAGTTGCAGATGGTTATGCCCGATCGCCCATTTTGAGTATGCACCCGTACCGCCCCAGCTCAGCTCGTATCGACCCCCCCGCCACCTTCTGCAACAAAACTATTCGCGCACACCTGCTTGTCAAAAACCACCAGTTTTAAATGACTTCTTGCAACAAATGTGACGAAGTGCGCACGCGCACGTCGTCGCGCGTGCATTGAGATATCCTTCAAAAACCATCGGTTCCGGAAGGATTCTAAATTCGATCGCCCAAACAACATACAAAAAACACATGGTTTCGCAACGCGGGTTTTCAATCAAATGCGTGCGCGCGCGTCTTTGCGAATTCTAAAGGAAACAATCGGTTCTTCAACGCTTTCAGAGCATGCTACCAAACGGGCTTCGCGCGCGCATGTCGAACTCGTTCCAACTCATTTGCGCGCGTGCCCTCGCGAACATATTTTGCAACAGCTGTGACGAAGTGCGCGCGTGCGTCGTCGCGCGCATGCCGAAATCCTTCAACAACTATCGGTGCCAGAACGATTTGAAAACCGAATGTCAAACAAATGTTTAACACACGTGGTTCCGCAACATTTTTTGAACAGCCAATTCGAAAACAAGAAACAAGTTTGCGCGCGCGAGTTCTTAAGAAAACCGAAGGTGTTCGACATGTTCATGGAATTCTGCCAAGCGGGCCCTTGGCGCCGCATGCCGACATGATTCGCATGCCGTTGCGCGCGTGCTGGGGGGCACGGCCCGTGCTAGATAGTATTATGCGGGCCACTCTCGCGCGTCGGCCGCGCGCGCATGTCGAACTCGTTCCAAAACCTTCATCGCTGACGCGAGGGCGCCGTCATCGTCGTCGGCGTGATTTGTGTCGGCGCCCGCACTAGTGTTGGTGAAATGTTTGCAAAAGCATGGAATGTGCCAGCTCACAAATAAGAACCAAGTGCGTCCCATAGATTGTACCACGTGTATTGCATCACGTATTTAGTTGCACATGTATGACCCCACGAACTGTACCACATGGGTTGCGCGACGCAGATCGCACCACGCACACACACGCATATCTATATATACACATCAGTATATGTAGATGGATATATGTATGTATGAATGTATGTATGTATGTATGTACGTATGTATGGATGTATGTATGTATGTATGTATGTATGTATGTATATACATGTATGTGTGTATGTGTGTATGTATGTATGTATGTATGCATGTGTGTATGTATGTATGTATGTATGTATGTATGTATTTATGTATGTATGTATGTATGTATGTAGGTATGTGTGTATGTATTCATGTATGTATGTATGTATGTATGTATGTATGGATTTACGTATGTATGTATGTTTGTATGTATGCATGTATGTATGTATGCATGCATGCATGCATGCATGCATGCATGTATGTATGTATGTATGTATGTATGTATGCATGCATGCATGTATGTATGTGTGTGTATGTATGTATGTATGTATGTATGTATGTATGTATGTATGTATGTATGCATGTATGTATGTATGTATGTATGTATGTATGTATGCGGCGTCCGGGGCCCCGCGGCCCAGGGTCGCACAATTTCCCCCCCCCCCCCCCCGTAACCGAATGTGCCTCCTGGGCTGCAGACGCTTTTTTGGGCATCCAGGGGCCCGTTTTCGGAGTCCCGGAATTTTTTCCGCTTCCCCGAGGCGTCTACCTAGGTTTCTGGAGACGGCAAGAAGCAGCCAAGACGGCCCAAGAGCGCTCCGAGCCGCCCAAGATGGCCCCATGATCGGCCCAAGGGGCCCCCAAGATGCCCTAAGGTCGCTCCGCGAGGATCTCCAAGAGAGCCCCAAGACGCCAAAATCATTGATTGTCATTGTGTTTCCAATATTTGTTGCTTCTCACGTTTCCGAGCGGCCGACACTCCAAGACTGTCCAAGAAGCCTCCAACGTCGCCCCAAGAGGCCCCCAAGAGGCCCCCAAGACAGCCCGAGAGGGCCGCATGATCTGCCCAAGAGGCCCCTAAGACGGCCCAAGAGGGCCTGATCCCGAGAACCCCCCACCGAGCTCGCAGGAGGCCTCTACACAGACCCTCAGAAGCCCTCCAGAAGCCCTTCGTCCTCCATGCTCCGGAATAGCCCTTCGGAACACGTGGTCTTGGCTGCACCCCCCGACCCGCCCACCCAATGTCGAGGCCCGAGGACGCCCGCAAGACGCTCCGGAAACGCTTCTCCCGCACACGTGGATCAGGTGACAATGATGTTGGTCGTCGGTTGTCCGTCGTCGTCGTCGTCGTCGTCGGTCGTCGCGGGTACGCTACAGGCCAAACCCTTCCTTGAACTTCGCAGTGTCCGCCCGAAAATCACGCATGGGTGAAAGGGAGGAACCCGGAAGACCACATGGACAAGGTCCCATGGAAATTGTCACCGTCTTCGGAGTCGACTAGATCCTAAGCGCGCGCGAAGCGCGCGAGTGGCTCTAGTTTAAATTTATTGCACAGCAAAGTGCAGAGCACATATTGCACACAACAGAAAACAACAACTGATACTGCACCACGTACGGTGTACACAGCAGGTCCCGCATCATAAATAGTACCACAAACATGGCCCCAAATAGATGGGTTCATCGATTTCTCACCACATAAGTTGCGCAACATCGATTGCACAGCATGCAGTGTACCACATATATTCCACCACATATGACAGATGTGGCATTGCTGATATAGCACCGCATACGCATATATAGTTTGATTGATATATGCATATGCTTATCGATGTGTTGCACATCACCGAGTGCGCCACACAGGTTCACATAACATCTGTTGCACCACATCGATTGCACAACATAGGTATGGCGTTGCATGTGTTGGAGACCAATTGTACACAACACATATTTCACACAAACGATTGCAAGACATATGGCACAACATCGATTGCCCACAACTGGTTGCCCAACACAGATTGCACTACACAATGTGCACCATATGGGTTGCACCACCTAGACTGCACAACAGACGTTGCACCGCACATTTTGCACATCTTAGATTGCACCGCATAGGTTGCCCAGCTTGCACAGCACATTTTGCACAATCTATTCAGTGCACACAGCAGATTGCAACCCGATATTGCACATATCAGGGTGCACAACACAGATTGCACAACACATTTTGCACATAACAGATTGCCCAGCACATATTGCACCCAATACATTGCACCATGTAGACTGCACAACATTACGCAACATGTAATTTCTAGAGACACATTGTTTGGTGTCTACGCGGGCTAACATCATACATCATGTACAGATGAGAAGCAGCCTCCCCCCTCTGTCTCGATCCCCCCTTGTCGGTTACTCATGTGCCACCCTGGTACAGGAGGGCAGCGACATTCAGGCCTCGCAGGTGGCCTCGGGGTTCTCCTCGCGCGCCCCCTGGAAGTGCAAGCGCAGCCCGTGCAACGCAAGGGCCCCTCCTGCCAGAACTGCTTACCGCGTGCGTGCATCCTCCTGGGACTCGCCCGCTGCGTGCGGCAGGACCCCATCCAGGCTTCGCGCGCGTGGCCATCGTTGTCTCTCCTCGCTCTGCCCCTCCCTGTCTCAGTCGCCACCCGCTGCTGCGCGCCCGGCCTCCGCAGCCGCGCCTCCCGAGGGCGCGTCCGCTCACCCCAGGCCCCACGGCCGGGATGCAGCTCCCGGGAGGTGCATATCAGCACCGGCGTTGTTCCACAGTGAACCCGCACAGTAACGAGGAACGACTTTCCAACCCTGCAGCTTTCCCCTTCGGCCCATCCTTGGCCCCGCTTTCGCTGGCCGCGCCCCGCTCGCAAAGTGTTGAGATGTCCTTCCAAGGCCTTGCATCCTTATCGTGCGTCCTTCTTCTAGGGGCTGACTGTAGATATCCGTGGCCAGAATGACCGAAGCAGCCATACGCCAAACGCGCATGGGCAAGATAATTGGCGAGCGCGCGGGCAACGCCAAACGCGTTAGCTGGCGGACATGAGACGCGCCAAACAGGCGCCAAACGCCGCGGATAGAGACAACCCGCAGAATCCCGCTTCATCCCGTCTCGTATGGCTTCATCCAGGACTTTTGCCGTCTCCATGGCCCCTTCATCTAGGGCGCGAAGTAATACAGTAATACGGAGTGACCTACATGGGGAGTGAAGACAAGGGTTCTAAAGGGCCCCTCTAGGGCCCCTCTAGGGCCCCTGCTGGCTCCAAACATGACCCTAAAGGGCCCCTCCAGGGCCTTTCTCCGTCACCCCTCGTTAACGTCATCCAGTAATTACCACCCGCCCGATCATCTGCCTCAGTAGCCCTCGCCCCACACTCCGCACCGCCCTCGCATCCCTCGCGCCCAGCTCGCGCCGGGGCCCACGGCCCTCCCTCGTGCCGCGGCCCTGCGTGCCCTACCCTGCCCTCCTCGTCGTCGCCGCCGCTGTCGCTGCCGCCGCTGTCGCTGCCGCCGCTGTCGCTGCCGCCGCTGTCGCCGCCGCCGCTGTCGCCGCTTCATCGTCGTCGCCGTACGGTGGGTCAGCATTGTGTCGACGCGCGTCGACACGACGCGGGGTCGCCGCGGGCGTTCCAGGTTGATCGCCTGCGGCGCCGATGTCGCAAGATCTGCGGCAGAAGGGAAGCCGCGAACGTTCAAGGTTGGACCATCCGCGCGGAGTCAGACGCCAACGCCGAAGTCGTCACCTCACGAACCTGCTGAAGCCGTTGTCGTCGTCCTTGTCGTCGCCGTTTCGTCGCTGTTTTGCTGCCGTCGTCGTCGTCGCCAGGTCGTTGCGTCGCTGTTTCGTCGTCGTCGTCGTCGTCGGCCCGCGCCCCCTACTCTGCAGGAGGGCACGGTGTACTCGTTCGAGCCCTTCCGCCAAGTGTTCCAGTACTTGAACGCGAACGTGGCCGTCAACGGCCTGGCCAACGTCCGCCACCCTCCAATCCAACAGAGGGAGAGGATCGAGACTTATGAGCGCTGCCTGCCTCTGTCGGGGCCTCCTGTGGCCTCCAGGGGGGCCTCTGGCGACCTCCCGATGCTTCCGGGGATCTGGAGGCCTCAAGATGCCCCCGAAGTCATTCGAGCCGCGCTATAAGTATGAGTGCTTCTGAGAACAAACAACAGCAACCATAACAACAAACCGGCCTTTGCCTGCCTCTCGGCCCATCCTTTTCCTGACCCTCCGCCATGGGCCATGGGCTTCAAACTTGGGTTTCACGTTGTGCGTCCAAGGGCCTTGCATTGTTGCCGCGCATCCTAATGATCTGATCGCAACGTATACTGTGAAGGCCTTACGGCCAGTGCCGCCGACCTTGACAAACGACGACGACGACGACGACGACGACGACGACGACGACGACCACGTCGACGACGACAACGATGAGCTGATTGTCCGGCGGACGCTGGAGAGAGGGACAGAGGAGGAGGAGGTTCAGGAGGAGAAGGAGGAGGAGGAGAGGGACAACGGGAGGAGGAGGGGCAACGGGAGGTGGAGGAGGAGGAGGAGGAGGAGAGGAGGAGGAGGAGGAAGGAGGAGGAGGGGGAGGAGGAGGATGAGGAGGAGGAGGAGGAGGAGGAGGAGGCAGAGGAGGAGGAGGAGGAGGACGAGAAGAGGAGAAGCAGAAGGAGGAAAAAAGAGAGAGGAGGAGGAAGAGGAGGAGGAGGAGAGGAGTAGGAGCGGGAGGAGGAGGAGCCAGAGGGAGGGGCGAGCAGGAGGAGGAGGAGGAGAGAAGAGGAGGAGGAGGAGCAGGAGAAGGAGGAGGAGGGAGGAGGAGGAGGAGGAGGAGGAGGAGGAGAGGAGGAGGAGGAGGAGGAGGAGAAGGATGAGAGGGGAGAAGCATCACGGAGGGGATGGAGGAGGAGGAGGAGGAGGAGGAGGAGGAGGAGGAGGAGGAGGAGGAGGGGAGGAGGAGGAGAGGAGGAGGAGGAGGAGGAGAGAGGAGGAGGAGGACAACGGGAGGAGGGGGGCAGCGGGAGGTGGAGGAGGAGGAGGAGGAGGAGGAGGAGGAGAGGAGGAGGAGAGGAGGAGGAGGAGGAGGAGGAGGAGGAGGAGGAGAGGAGGAGGAGGAGGAGGAGGAGGAGGAGGAGGAGGAGGAGGAGGAGGAGCCGGATGAGAAGGACGAGAAGGGGAGAAGCAGAAGGAGGAGAAAAGAGGAGGAGGAGCAGGAGGAGGAGGAGGAGGAGGAGGGGGAGGAGGAGGAGCCAGGAGAGGACGACGAGCAGGAGGAGGAGGAGGAGAAAAGAGGAGGAGCAGGAGGAGGAGGAGGAGGAGGAGGAGGAGGGAGGAGGAGGAGGAGGAGGAGGAGGAGGAGGAGGAGGAGGAGGGGGGGAGAAGCATCGCGGAGGAGGATGGAGGAGGAGGAGGAGGAGGAGGCGGAGGAGGAGGAGGAGGAGGAGGAGGAAAGGTTTCTGTCTTTTCGGGGGCGGGCGCCTGGGAGGCGACAACAAAAGCCAGACCAGGCCGGGGCCAGTGCAAGGCACGGGGCTGGGGCTTGGGCCATGGCCTAGGCAGGGGCCGGGCCAGGACCAGGGACGGGGCCGTCTCGGGCCGGGGACGGAGCCGGGGCGGCGGAGGGAGGGGTCCTGAGTTCCACTTCGGATAGGGAGACCACCCCTCTGCACTCATTATCCGCAGGGGGTGCCGCCGGGGGAGGGGGCGGGGGCACGACCCCGCGGGCCCCCTTCGGGGACCCCCCTTGTGTGACCATCCCCAGAACCACCCATGGGGACCACCTCCAGACCACCCACGGGGACCGCTCAAGGAACCCCCCCTTCGGCGGAAAATCGAAGGGAAAGGGGCTTCCCTTCGACTTCTAGTTAAGACATTGCCCGATACTCCCATATAGTTGGAGGACGACGATTCAAAAGAGGCTGCCGTGCTTCAGTTTGGGTTGGGTTGGCCTCGCGTCGAAGGGCCCCTCACACACGCCGACAGGGTCGGCGGATTTCAAAACCCCCGCTGAGTTTAAGCATCCCAGGCTGAGTGCTCGCATGGGTCTTCTGCCCTGAACCCCCACTCCATTCATCCTCCCCCGACATCCTCGCGTCGTGACAAAGTCGTGACGGAATGTTTCTCGTTGTTCTCGTCTCCCGGGCCCCTCATCGGGCGGGGCGTTTCGCTTGAGACTTCTTCACCCTGTATGTCATTGAAGCTTGAAAGTCGCAACAGACAGTACAAGTTTGGAGCACATGTTTCCGAAATGGCTTCTCGCTGTAGCGCCACGCAAAAAAAGTTACACGGATGGGACACAGGTTTTTCAAGAGATAGTTATGAAAAGAACGGGTACAATGCCCAACAGCAGTTCTTGTTCATTTCGAACAGGACTCGCTGTCTGCGCCGTCGCGGCCTGTGTCCATTTGAGACAGAAGGCCGCCTGCCCACCAGCCGCTGCTGTTGGTTGGGGGCCACACTTGCTGTTGGTCGACTAGACGTAAGAGTGACCTTTCGCCAGAGTGACCTTTGGTGCGGGCACAGATGGGTCCCCAGATGGCTAAAAACGAGGCAGTAGCAGTTGCTTGCGCGCCCAGGTTTGGTCCCCCCGCGGCCCCCAAAAAGTCGCGCACCAAAGGTCACTCTTACCCAGGGTCACTCCTACGTGAAGCCGAGTTGGGCAGTGCGCCCCTCTTCTCCGGACCCCTTCCGGGCGTCCACCGTTCTCAACAATTGGCGCGTCGTGGCGCCGCACGGGTGGTTTTCAAAACGGGGCTCTCGCCCCAGCGCCGCGCGCCTTCCTCGTCAATCCTGGCGGCGGCTACACTTGAGTCGGGCCTCTCCCTCGACAGGAGGAATGTTCAGAAACAGTCAAGAAATGGTATGGTGACGATGTTTCTTCTACTCTTGGCCATGTTTCAGCATTTTTTTGCCATTTTGCTATTTTCGCTCAAAATCCGCCTGCAGGGGGACATGCCCGACCTGAGGCTACGAGGCAGGAGACGGCTCCTGTTCAAAAAATGCGGCTCGCGCCTGAGCGCGGCGCGCATTCGTCTCACAATCCTGCTGCAGCTACAGGAGTGAGGGCGGGTCCTTGTCAAAATTGGGATCTCGCCTTTCAGCCCCGCGCATCCGTGTTAGAGTCTTGGGAAGAACTACAAGAAGCGAGGACGCCTTCCCTTCACAGTGGGGGGGTCATTTTGAGCATGTGCTCAAATTTGAACTCAAGAAGTTTCAACGTATGCAGCAGTTTCACGGAAGGAGCGCGGCCCTTTTTCACCTTGAGTATCTCGCCTGCATGTTCTTTGACATTCCTTGCCAGAAGTGCGAGTGCGTGCGCCATTATGAGGGCGGGGCGTTTTTGTTCAAAGCGGGGATTTGCTTCTCGCGCGCCCTCACCTTTCGCCCGTGCGACGGTCGCACCTTTAGTGCCTCTAGGGTTCAAACAGAATTCGGCGCGGTTCGCGATGCAAGCCTGAAGCTCCCCGGCGGCTGAATCTCACTGAACATGCTGCCCGCGCGCTCATCGCGCGATTTGGGCCCCATCTTCCAGTGGCTGATGCGCGACGGGTCGAACGGCCCGCCGCGCGCGGACAGTCGCTGGCGCACGAGAGCAGCCGCGCGCGCTTCAGCGTCTTGCGTCGCGGCCTCCGCGGCTGCGTTCTGCAGGCGCGCCAGGGCGCGCCTGGCAGCGCCTCGCGCCCCCGGTCGGCGCCGGGCAGATGGATCGCCCAGAGCACCTGGCGAGGAAGGAAGCCTGACGGGGACGCACCGATGAGAGCGGCAACCGCACGGAGACGTGCCGGCTCAGACGCTTCATCATGGCTTCATCTCTTGTTTTGCCGTCGCCGTGCACAAGGTGACGCCGGCCATCTCCGTTGGCGAAGGAGCGCGGCCAGTCGGCGCTGGCAGAGCCCGGCGCCGAGAACTCCTCGCATGGCGCTCTGTGGCCTGCAGCGCCTGCCGGCCGCGGCATCCCGGGCGCCTGGGCGCGTGGCCGCTCAGCGCTGCGTGCCGTGAAATCCCGTCGGTGCGGCGGGTCAAACATTGCGCTTGAACTGCCGCGGCGCCCGCGCGCCCGCCCGAGCGAGCGGTTGCGCGGGCAGGCGTGAGCTTGGCAGCCGCGACCGCCAACGGCGCGGCACGCCTGCGGCGGCGCGGCCGCCGCCGCCAGCGGCGACGTACGATGGCAGTGGCAGCGTGTATCCCGATTACTTCTGCCGTCGCGATGGCGGCGATGGCGCAGGAACCTTGAACGCAAGGAGCCTGGGACACCGCGCGGGCACCACCTCGCTGTCGATCCCATTGTCGACCTCACTATCGATTCCACCATCGATCTCATTATCGATCTCATTACCGATCTCACGATTGATTGCACGATGGACCTCGCCGCCGACCTCAATATCGATCATATAATCGATCTCGCTTTTGATCCCACTAATTACCGATCTCTCAACAGATCTTGCGAGACACCATCGGGACAACACGATGGGGCACCCCCAGCCACGGCGGGGAACCCCGAGCCAAAGATCGGTCGCGATCGATCTCACGACCGACCTCACTCTCGACCCCACGATCGATCTCTCGATCTCACCTTCGACATCGCAATCGATCCCGCAGTCGATCTCATTCGATCCCACAACAGATCTCACGAGCAACCATCGGGACACCGCGGCGGGACACCCTGGACCACCGTCGGGACACCCCGCGCCGCGGACGGGGCACCCCCGCGCTACCGACGGGGCACGCCCGACCAGGCCACCGCTGGGGGGGCTCTCCGTGCCACTGCAGTCTCACCCCCCCGCGTCCGACGATCGCGATGGCAACGATGGCGCAGGAACCTTCGACGCGAGGCGCCTGGGGCACCGCTCAGGCACCGCCGGGACATCTCGCTGTCGATCTCAGCGTCGACCTCCTTGCCAATGCCACGATCGATTTCATGATCGATCTCATTCTCGACCTCACCATTGATCTCACTATCGATCTCACAATTGAGA